GGGGAAAATGGGCTGTATGCATGGGGTGGGAGAGGGGGGCCTCTGATGTTGGGACCCAGGGACGACACCCAGGGACAACACAGGACACCCACGTTTGTTGGAGCCCTGCCTGGGTTTAATGGGCAACTTACTCCCCCCACCATCAACTGGGGTACAGAAAACCCGTGGGCAAAACTTTCTACAAAGTGGGCCTACGAAACTTTACAAACTGTTGTCTTGATTTCTAGCCCATCCTTGGTCCATCTGCACTGAATTTGCTTTGTATTTCTCTTTCAAGAATGGGACTAATTTTTATACTTGATCTTAGCCCAAAGTCTGAGAAGCGATGGGGACTTCTTTTTTACCCACATAAATTGATTTGGAGAAAAAAGGAGTGACATCCCCCAGCCCTTATGGGAAACCAACATACTGCCATAAATAGAAATTAGCCATGCAAAGAAATACCTATTTAAGAAATTTTTATCTTTAGCCAGGTACCTCGTAAAAACAGAGAGCAGAGATGTGCGTAAGAAATTTGGGAAACTTCTCCTCCAAGTTGCAGGTGTCATGCATGAGGGACTGGAGGCCCAGAGAGGTTGAGTCACTTCCCTGGGGTGACACAGCAAGAGCCACAGACCGTAGGCTGGGTCCTAAGCTTGGCTGCTTCTGGAAACCCAGGCGTACTGCTGCACTATGGTTTCCCGGCTGTTTCAGTGGCCTCTGTGTATGAGTAAATATCATATAAATTAACTCATTACCCATTTTCAAAGCACCTTTTGCGTTGTACACCATTTGAGCCCACTGCAACACTAGATATGTCCGAGAACTCTTTGAGGGTAGAGTAGAGGGTGTTGCCCTTCCCATGGCAGATGGGGAAACTGAGGCAGAGTGCAAGTGTCCTGCCTCTGGAGCTGACAGGTGAGCCGTGACTGCCAAAGGCCTGGCGCCAAGGTGAAGCTCCCAGAGGCCCAGCTGGAAGGACTGGGCCTCACCGAACAGGTATCTCTGGTTTTTTCTCCTCTCCCCACCTCCCCAGCACCCCCAGGAACAAACTCTGATGGAACCACAGCCGACCTTTTTCCTAGGCCGGAGCTCCACTGTTCTGAGCCTAGAGGGCAAAAAGCGAGTTTAGTAACCAGCGTTCATGTTTGTAGATGAAATCCTTTCATTTGGGGGAGGGTGACTGGTTCTGAGCATGGTGAGGACAGATCTTCCAGGGAACCAGAGGGACTGTGGGCGGGACACTCAGGGACACC